AATTGCATTAATGGGCTTCTTTTGCAGCTTCCAAAATTTCGTCGCTGCTTTGATCTCTTGTGCCCGGTTGTTCGTTATTGAAAACTCCTAAAAACAGTGAGATGTCACCTAGTGTTGTTCCAATCAAAGCATGATTTCTTTAAACAATACCTTTAAACCAACCTGTATGCTTGAATCCTTGCACCCTGCATAAATCTTCCCCTGAACCACTGCCAGACAATTCACCTTTTTACTCTTGCAATTATCCTTGACCTTTCTTGATGCATCAAACACCTGGAAAAAAGATTAGTCATTTCTAGCTACACTTACTTTAGTACTAGGTTGCTGTGGATTTTATAGTCATTACCTTAATCCCATGGCCATTAGTAGTTGCAAATATTGTTTGGCCGTATGTATTTAGGTGCTGAATTGGTTCCTTTGTTGCAATTACTTCAATGCACTCCAATTTCCTGTGAACCACTTGCCATACCTGTAGAAGGAAGTTGCATGTTGCAGTTTAGTTTAGTGTCTGTTAATGTATTGCAGATCTTCATGGTAAAATTTTACCATACCCTGATGGTTTTGTCCGGTGATCCACTTATAAGGCTGTCTCCTGGTTCAAATAGTGAAAAGCATGTAACCGCCTTTTTGTGCTCCTTTATGTTCCATACAAGGGTGGCTGATTGCCCCTTGATGTTCCAGACCTATTGAATGCACACACATACATTGATTTAGATTCTTGAGCCACTCAAAAACTAAGCATTTTGGCTGTGCAACAGTTTGTGGCAGAGGTGTCTGATGATCCTATTAAGTGACCTCACCTCACCCTAATATATGCTTAGCTATAGAATGTTTTATCCAAGTAGATTCTTTACCAAGAAACAAGAATATGCATACATTATTAAAGTGAAATAACCAAATATGGTTACTCTGTGTAGGAAGCACCTGATAGTTAATTCCTCACCTTGATAGAACCATCTGAGTGTCCACTGTAAAGAAATCCCTTGTAATAGATGAGGGCACATACAGCTCCACTGCAAGTGATAGCAACCTCAAGGATTTGTGTGTGAACACACGAGATACGCTGCATTACCATTATAATGATTCCAACAAAACATTACATAAATCTGTTACTGATGGTAGATATTAAACACATGAATAGACTGATGGCATAATCTACAAGCTCTTGAGTAAATTCTTCAAAGTGAATGTTGAGTACTCACTGATAAGGTTGGTAGAACATAGTCAGCTACTTTATGTAACTCCTCTGCCATCCATGTTACATTTGACAATCGTCTTAGTGATTCTCGCACTCCTTCCGAGAAATGAATTAATTTTTTCATCCCTACATGATGAAACGATTTACATTTGCATGGAAT